TATATCTCTAGGGCCAGTATATCTCTACGGCCAGTATATCTCTAGGGGCCAGTATCGGCCTTTGGGGACATAGCAGTATTGGTGATAATTGTTCCATTAACCTAGCATAAGCTAGCCTTGTAAACGTTATCCAGAACAATAAATCTAACGTAGAGGTAAATAAATATCAGTAACATTATCTTCGTCGTCCTCAGTGAAATGCATTGTTTGTCTGAAATCTTCGTGACTGTTTAAGCATCAAACAGGAAGAGTGTTTCTTTGTTTAATTTATATTTTTGTAACACACTTGATAACTTTTTATGGTGAATAGTGGAGGATAGAAAATGTGAGCACACGTTAGGGAGACTGGTTTTATGACCAGTGCTCCACTTGTAAACCTGCTGTGGGACCACGTACAGCTGGATCTGATTAGCTTAGCTTCATGGTTGCTAACAGCTGTGCTAAATAAACAAGCCCTGCCCAACTCACTGTTTTCTTAGATTCTCAAGAGTGGACAAAATTTTCAGTCATATTGATTATCGGTGGGCAAAATCCCGCCCTATATTGGTATGAGCGATAGTCAAAATGTCCATCTGGGTCGGGCTCTAGTATCGATAACTGTTTGTCAGAAAATCCGCTAAAAATGACCCGACTGTTGCCCTAACGTCTCACGTGTTCGTGTCACACAGTCCAGATGTTTTACCTCGGCGTGGGAGCCGGATGACAGGGTCTTGTTGCACTTCTCGCACTTCAGACATGGCCTATGCCAGTCCTTGCCCAGAGACGTCACCTTCTCAGCTGCCCAACACACAAAAAGGGACATTCAGTAACGACAGTGCTGAACCTCTGCCACACAGACGGACACTGTGGTCTGGACAGGACATGGACGTCACACTGCAGGACACATGAGCTTATCCTCATGTGAATTTTGGTCTGCTCTCAGTTTAAGAAACAACAAAGATCAGCAGATTAGTTGGAGAACATTGCAGGGTGTGGCGTCTCAGGGAGGGGCGACGGACAGTGTCCCTGTGGAATCTGTCCTCCTCCTCCTGCCTCATAAACTCCCATGAATACCGTCCTTATCTGAGTGAGCTGCACAAAACGCCCATGAAGGCGACAGTAAATCAGGGAGAGGACTCTGAAAAGATTTTTGTTCCGTGTCAGAGATGATGGATGAAAAGAAAACCAACGAGCAGAGGAACGTCGTGGCCAAGGATTTGCATGAACGGACAAAATTTGAATCAGGAAGGACATCTGAGGTTAAACACACGCTGCTGTGGGACGTGTTGTGAAACTGTTGCACATGGCATGAATAACATTTGCACTAATTAAAAATGTTAAAAACAGACATGAAAACATCTAGTCCTACATGCCATGCCACACATGTATGTGTTGGGAATAACACTCAGCTACTACCACACAAAGGTTCAGCTCAATAGTTGCAACGGAGTTAAAGGCAGTTTTGTGTTGGCTAATGCGGATTAGCTATGGCGGCCATCTTTAATAGGGTTGGTTCCAAAAGTTAACGAGCTGTAGAAGAACATCCAATGATCGGTCTTTGAAAGCTTCAGTATAATCCATCTAATGGTTCATTAGAAATTTTACTAACAGGCAACCAGGCCTCATCAGTACTCTCAGCTACAACCACAGCTGTTCTGTGCACATCTGTCAAATAAATGGATTTGGAGGCACATTCATGTTCCCTGATCTTAGACGGCTGCGGGGAACATCTTCAATTGATTTTCAATCAGCTCAGGGGTTATTTCCTGACAGCTTCATGAAAATCCATAAGTTGTTAAGGAAATATTTTGCTAACAGACATGTAGAATTGACTTCAGATAACTGAAGGTCAATTTTAAGGAAGTGACGGTGTTTTAGACATTTTTCTGACTCTGTGTCTCTCTCCTGGCCGTCCTCCGGCCTGCTTGTATCTGACAAGCTTTTTGCCTCCAGGTGTCGCGGTCCAGAGCCAGGACTGGATATTTGAACCTTGCAAATGGAAACGGTGGCTCCAGTAACACGACTCGTTCGTCTGAGCCGAAGTTCAAACACTTTGTGTTTTGCTCCAGCTTCGGCTGCCAATTGCCTCTGTGGAAAAATATCCACTGAGCTGCAGATGTGATGAACGGAGACGAGTAGATGGAGCCGAGTGCTCCTCCTGGATGCAGGTTTGTTACTTCCATGCACGGGGAGGGCAGGAGGCGGGTTTCTGCAGGACTGCTTATCTCTCAGGAAGCTCAGATCTTAGATTAGGACAAGAAAGGGATTCTGCAGAAATATAAAATGCATACAGATGTGCGCCCTGCTGAAACATCGTCTCGTTTTTCTTGTACAATGTGAAGTTTGCAGACTAACCTCAGATAAAGTGAGCTCCGTATGGAACCAAACAGCAAACCTAATTTATTGCTCAGTCTCCATTTTTGAAACCTTTACCTGCTTGAAGCAAATACACTTGAACTTTTATAACATTCACTTTAAAGCACCTTTCACAATAAAGCACAGTTTCCAATTAAAACAGGAACTTTTGATGCACTTTACTCCATAAAGTACAAAGTTGATGTACAAATTGTACGTTAACCATCAGAAATATTTATAATACAGCAGCACATTTACTTTATTATATACTTCTCAACATCCTGAACATTTCATTGTTGACCTTTAACTTGCATATGACAACAAACTAAACTTTAATATTTCGCCTGTTTACTTCAAACTGAGTGACTTTACGTAAAGTGTCGTTTTGAGCAGCTAACTAGTCTGATTTCTTCTTACAAAGCTTCTAAAACATTTACAAACATTTATTAAATACAATATTTATTTCATATATTCATCTTGTCATGCAGAGCAGCTTCCTGTTTCCTTATTATGTGAGCACAAACCTTTCATGAAGCAGGAAATGCAGCTGGCTGCACATCTGTCCGTAAAAACGAGCTCAAGGTGCAAATCTTACCGAAGTAAACCTCCTTCTGGCATTTAGGACACTTGGGCATGTTGTGGCAGCTGCGGTGCAGAGGCAAAGTAGATCCTGCGGATGGATACCGACGGGCTCACCTGGGTGCTGTTCCGGACAACAGCGCAACGTGCGCGCGCTCCTGGTTTTATAGCTGCAACTTTTTTTGTCTCAGTGGGAGGAGAGTTGGAACAGGACAGCTGACAGTACAGGAAGTGTGCGTGTGTGCGCGTGTGTGTGCGTGTGTTCATCATTGCTGCCAACTTTTAATCCAGAGTTTTAAACTAATATTCATTTATGAAAGAAAAAGGAAGTTTGAATCTAAATTTATCCCAGATCAGTTGATTATTGGTAAATTGGACTGAGCGGATGCAATTTTTGAGCTTGCTAATATCAGCTGTTGTTGTGAGTCATCTGAAACTGGTGGTTCATGATATTTTACTGACAAACGGTGTCGACTCCGATTCTTTTCTTTCTCCCTCATCCTGTCCGACATTGTGACTCTTAGAATTATTGTGTGAGTGTCAAAGTGACGCCCAACAGATTTACCTTCACAAGCAGAGCATCATGGCTGGCCTTAATGCTCTGCTTGATATATAAATAAAACCTTATTAGAATTTGCTTTGGGTTTGTTTCAGATGTAATGGACATGGGGATGAAAAACAAAGAAGCAAACGAAGCAGAAAAGTGAGAGAAGAGTTAAAATGTAAAGGAGAGGAATAGAGGAGAGAGATAAAGAGAACACAAATCAACATCATTGAAGTCTGACTCTAGACCTGCGGAAAGAGAAAAAAGACAAAACCAAGAAACCACAACAAACAACATATATAATGATACTTATAACATCATTAGAAAGTATTTTATACAGTACATGGTAATACAAGATATATTTAGTGGCCACCACAACCCAACTGAGTGTGTATCTGATAAACATCTGGATCTAAACACCTGTATGAGCATGATGTCACTTTAAGGTTTCTCCAGAAGAATGTTCAATAGTGGATGTGGGGACCCACAGATCCATCCCCACAGGACACACAGGGAAGGTATCACAGGGAAGACCGGAACCACAGACACACAGCGGCCCCCAAGCCCAGAACTCCGATAGTCCCCCAACAGGGACACCCGCACCCCCCAGAGAGAGAAGCAAAGGGAAGCCCCAGCAATCACAATGCAGAAACCCCAGGAGGCTGCGGTGACGAGTTGCCAGGCCCTGCCGGCAACCCGCCCCTCCAGAGTGGATCCAGCCATGGACACCGAGCCCTGAGTCCCGAGGTCATACCACCCCCAAACAGAGGTCCAACAGAGCCAGGGCACCCAGGCTATGGCAGGCAGCCACCAGGGCGTGCCCGCACACACCCCACCACCCAGCCCCAGCTGCTGAGAACCGCCAATGCACCGGCGGCAGGGGGGGCCCACCACCGGAGGGGAGCACGACACACCAAATTGTGGGGGGGGGGGAGCAAAATTGATCCAAGAGAGGGGACCACCTAAAACCCAACCTGGGACATAAACAGGCGCACATGGACAGCCCGACAGAGCCTCTGTTGGGCTGTCCATGTGCCCCACCCACCCGACATTGACTGCAAGCCAGCCCCAGGCCGGGGGCCAGGGCAGCAGGGAGCAGCAGCCGAGGACAGCCGGCCCAGCGCACCAATGCATCCCTACAGCCCCACACCACAGGCCCGGACAGACCTCGGCACGCCACCCATGCAACCCCCCCCCCCCCCCCCCCCCCCCCCCCCCCCCC